TCACGCGATGGATTCACAGGGGGAGTTACCCGCTTTTTATTCGCAACGAGTGCAAGCACTCGGTGGTGGCAGCGTATTCTCCCAAGGCTCGCCGGCTCTCGGTTACCATCGTGAACCAGCAATCCAAGGAATTCCGCGTGAATCTCAAGATCAGCGGGTTCGATCGCTGGAACCGTAAGAAGTCGACCCTTCGACAAGTCAGGCGCACGTCGCTTAAGGAGAACTACAAACGGATCTATAAGGAGTACAGCTGGGACGCCATCACGTCAAGCAAAGTGACCGTTCAGGGCAACTCAGTCACCACAGTTGGCTGGACAAATGTCGCTATGCTTGGAGACCCTCAATTCGTGTCATATTAGTGGCCGCCCAGGCATAAGGTCGTCTGGAGAGTGGTAGAGCAAGCAGGCTGATTGCATTGATCGGCTGAGAAGTCACAGGGTGGTCCTTTGGTACCGTAGAGCTTCTCTGGGATGGGAGTAGGTGAAGTTGGTGTAGCGAGGGAGGGCTGAGGCACGTGGATGGGAGGAAAAGGGGTGGGGAGGTGTGGTCGGGGGTGGATTCTTTTTGTGTGGCTGCAACGCATATGCTTACAGTCCACAGCTAGTGGATCTGAAGCTCAATGAGTGAATACACGATAGGTGTTAGGGGCTCTGGGTCATCCTTGTGCTCTCTGTACTGTAATATTATGCTAACGTAATTGTGCGGTTCTTGTTCTTTCGTTATGATTCATACTGTCCAACCTCAAGAACTACTCACGAATGGCATGAGCTCTACCCCAAACCGTTGGTTTTTAGGAGTACGTACCCATGTATGGTACTGAGTCCAAGATGCTGGTGCTTCAAAGGTGAGAGGTTAGTGTTAGGACGTGGTAAAAGTAGACCATCGATCGTGAACTGCGACTAGTGTGCACATCAGTTACCCTGTTTACGGACTTGTAACCATGCTACAGTTTGTGTTATGAATGAACTTGCAGAGTGCGCAGAATATCGAATAACGAGAATGGCTGATTACTGAATGACGATACAATGGAAGTGACGAGGCCTAAATATGGGAAGTCCTAGCTAGGCGGGGAGGTTGGGCGAGGATGGCTCGGTGATGGTTGCGATTGGTGCGGAGGCGACTCGGGAGTGGTTCGGTGCGACGAAATAGGAAGGACAGGTTCGTCGCGTGACCCTCGGGATGGCCTCGCTAACGAGTGCCTCGGTAATGATTCCGTAAATCTGTACAGTTTGGATTTTGTCGATATATTGTGCACAGGTGATGAATGCGACTGATCTATGATTGGTGTCCAGCTTTCAGACGCATCACGCACTACTGGTGCGGACCCCTTCGCACAGCACTAGATGATGCTTCGTGAGGGCCTCCGGTGATCCTCGAAGATTCCATTCCAAGGGTGCATTCCTTGAATCAGGCTCGGGACCTTGAACTCTCTCCCGAACCTGGCTAGTGTTGTGCTGTGCTGTGCGGCCTACCAAGTGCAAAAGAACGTTGAACCAGTAGTGCTGTGCTGTCCCCTCCTCCCAGGCAAACTGGGTGCGAGACTGGTTCCCGCTCGAATCGCGGACCCAGGAGCAGCACAAGCAGTTCCGGGCAGGGACAAAAGCCCCGAAAAAACATGCTACGGGGTAGGGCAATGTCCCATTGGTGACGAGAAATATGTTTGGCCCTGGTTGGCTGTATTTCTCCAAACCCAGCAATTATCGTCGCGGAAAACATTTTCGCGGTCAGAACAGCAAAACTTTTACGAAGCTCCTTCAGTTGCGCGGAGAGTGGCAGGAAGCTGAATCGCACTAACTTGGGGGGTTCTTGGCTTCACGGAAGCACCCGGCCGCACCAGTGGTGCTGTGCTGTGCTGTCCGCCCTCCATTTGCCGCTGGGCAACAGAACTGGGCCATGTTTTTTACGAACCACTCGCAACAGGCACGATTGATGTTGATGCCAGCGAAGTGCTGTAATTTCGCAAAGCGGGTGAATGGAGTCTCGCATCTTTCCCGCAATGTGGGCCTGTGGGCTGCGAATGTCGCGTCTGGTTGCCCTGTGGGCTGCGAAATGTCGCAGGTGTCGCAGGAAAAACCAAAGTATCGAATGTGGAAGAGTCAAACCATCATACTGGGGCGATCGTTACAACCAAGCGGGCCCCTCGTTTCGCCAATCGATCTGCCCAATCAATTCTGGGGCTAAAAGAACAATCGCGATCCTGAGATCCTCCCACTTTTACCGCGTCCTTATAATGGTTTTATCCTACGAAGGGAACCCACCCGCGAACACTGGCTCAGCCTACAGGTAATAATTCCAGGCGTGTCATTGGTTTTTACTTTACTCAAAACCTACCCAAACGCCTAGAAGTGTAAACAAGCCGCTCTGAAAAGCACATAAATTCATTCAACCGCAATAAAGTGAACTCGCATGCCTAAGGGTGCATTCCTACCTCTTGTCAGACACGAAGTGGAGGTTTGGATGGAGGTTCGGAAGACCCGAAGTGGCCCACTTCGGGTCTTCCGAACATTGGTTTGCTAGAGTTTCAGCTCACTTCGGGTCTTCCTCAACTTCACTTCGTGTCTGACCTCATGTCAGACACGAGCCAAGAATGCACCCTATGGCGTGTCCGAAGTGACATGTCAACGGATGTCGATGGATGTCGACGGATGTCAGGGTGGTAGGTGAGATTTTTCAGGCCGGCATTGTGTCCGAAGTGATCAGACATCCATCCGACATCCATCCGTCATCCAGCTCTGTGTAATCATTACAGTCAAAGGGTGCCGCCAACAGTGACCTCGGGCTGGTCAACGTGGCGTTGACGAACCAAATTATTGATAACAAAATTTGAGGGGGAACCATGACGAAAGTATTTCTGGGCAAGCGACAGCCCTTCGTGACTTGTACGGGGTGACGAAACAAGTTTGCGAAATTCGTGACTCAAATTTGAGCCTTCAATATTCTCTCTGGTCTGCCCTTACCGGCGCCAGCAGTGCCGGCCTGCATTTTTTAGGGCAGTTATGTCGCCGGCATTGTGTCCGAAGTGCCTCGACATCCATCCGACATCCATCCGTCATCCCCTGTCATCCGCCACCGTCATCCATTGGATGACGGATGGATGACGGACGGATGTCGAGGGTCACTTCGGACCCGCCCTAAGAAAAAATCGGAGTGGTATATTCCCTACTAGCTCTCCAAAATGCGGATGGCTTTGCTCTTCTTTGAACTCTCCCCATCAACAGCACCTTCCGTGGCCATCTGTCGGTTTCCCAAGCATCTCTGCTGGTCCTACTTGGGCGCCCACGTCAGCGCCCCCTTCACGGAGAATTTCACAGCAGTTTCAACATCGTGTGATTCTGACCGTCGATTAGATCATGTGGGAAGAACATCCCGTTGACCATCCGTTTCCTCCTCATCTCACTCTGTATTTCACGCGGTGCTGCCGCCGACTTCTGTCTTACTGTACAGCCGTGTACACATTTTCTGCGCCATTTGTACTGATGTTTGTCACTAAATAGTACACGTATCATGGTATTGAGGGTTGTTTGAGATGAACCAGGATTTCACCTCTGTGATATCGACTCCAACATGTAATCACAAAACGTAAGCAGTGGTCGCAATTTCAGCAGTTACTGTACTCCTTGTTCCTCCAGAACCAGATAGGACAATGGAACATGTCAAGTCCTGAACAAATCGAACAAATATACTTCCATGGGTTCTCCCTTGCAAATTCGGATGAAGTGGTTGTGCAGTTGGCTCAGGATTACTGTATTGCGCAGTTGGTATGCACAGTTAGCATCCAGCTAGTATGCAGGGCACCACACCACACATGCCATGCTTCCCCATCCACCCCTCCGTTACACCCAATGGTATGGGAAACCTGTCCGCACTGTGTGGAATTCAACAGCACAACCATTTGCTCACGAGCCACAGAGTCATGACATGGCAAGCAGGCACGCACACACAACTCATGCCCTCCTACCGCAACTAGTTACCAGTCCCATCTGCCTTACATGTGGACATAGTAACTAGTTCTTACCAGTCCAGGTAATTTGGCGGGTGTTGGCTCTACTTGTCATTCTGACGGATATTTGTTGATGCTAGGCCCCGGGTTTCTCCTAATGTGGATAGGATTGCGGCTGCGGCATCTACGGTAGACCAAAGAACCAGCAGCGTCATACTCCCGCACATTGATTTTGGCATTTCGTCGTTAGGGCAGATAGAATCCGTTGTTATATCGGTCCAGTAGAAGCACATTTCCGCCTCATTGTCAAAGTAAAACCTTCACTCCGACGCGATCAGAACTCCATGGATTAGTCTAGACCTCGAAGACGGTACCAATTCCTCGGGCGAAGCGTAGTAGAGTCCATTGTCAGCGACGCCGTTTAGGATTTCAGAAGTATCACTTATCACGTACTTGTTTTCACGTCGCATTGTACCCACATTGCGTGCACAGAAGGCACCGATATCTCGCCATTTTGTTCATGGAAACCACTCAATGTCTCCGTTTTCGCGTTATTAATTAGGCTTAAAGGAGTCCCTACTCGAGCCCGTCGATAGCCAGCCACGAAGACACCACGATGTCTTCTCTTAAATACAACCTGTTGTCCCGTCGTTCTCGCTGATCTGCTAAATTGGTCCTTCTCTCTCGCAATTCAGCAACGGCAGCAGCGTCAGGGACTGCGGGAACGGACCTAGGAGACGGATTTCGTTTCTTTCTTTCTTTCTTTCTTCAGACATTCCAGAGTTCGTCAGGGACCGCGGGAACGGAGCCAGGAGAATCAACGAATCTTCACCCCCATCATCAGCAGCAGCTGTGGGAACAGCGAATTCGGCAAACGCCAGCAGCAGCAGCAGCAGCAGCAGCAGCAGCAACAGCTTCAGCAGCAGCAGCAACCGCATAGCAGCAGCGGCAATAGCAGGGATAGCAGGAGCCGCGGCAACAAATCTCGCCGTGCAGCAGCCGCAGCAGCCGCAGCAGCAGCAGCAGCAGCAGCAGGACCATCAGAGATTCCCTGGCCACCATGGGTCCACCTCCAGGACAGCTGGACGATGGCGTGGCATCCATGCTCGTTAATATCACGGACATGCACGACTTCAAGCACGAGGTGACTGTAGAGGAAGCGCTAACTCTGAACCAGGTGGAGAAGCGCGCGCGAGAGCAGGGTCGCGTGTGGTGGAGCTACGAGGCGAACAAAGGCCCGTACTGGTTCCTGGAAGAAGCCCCAGCGAGCATCACGGGCGTGCATATACGAGCGAATCTCCAGGCGACGCTGCAGCAAGCGACGAATAACCTAAGCATGCACTTGCACCATCACCACCATTCCCTTTCCTCTTCCTCCTCCACCGCCTCCTCCTCGTCGTTACCCGCGTCGGCGTCTTGCCCCGCGGCTTGCTCGGCCGGAGCGTTGCCCGGTCCGGGATTGTTCGGTAGCATGTCTACCCCGACGGTGCTGAAGCGGCTTGTGCGGAAGGGGATTCCACCGCATCTGCGCCCGCGCGTGTGGAAGGCGGTGTCGGGAGCGGCTAAGAAAGAGGCGGTCGCGCCGGACGATTACTATTCGTCGCTGGTGGAGGAGACGACGTGGCGCACGACAGACCACACGCTGCAGATCGATCACGTGAGCAGTCTTGTATTCTGCCTCTTCCCCCCTTCCACGGGGTGTTCTAACTTCTACGTATGCAAGGTGAACATCTCCCCTGGTACACCCTCACCATTCCTTCTGTCCCCTCCCGCCTTCCCCCCTCCCCCAAACGTACTTTCTCCACTCCACACCCCCTTCCATGTCCCCCTGTCTCTCCGCATCTCCTCCCACTTCTCAACCAGCTCTCCCCATTTCGCCCCATCTGTCCCCGACGTTATCTCTCCCCAACTACCCCCATCCCTCCCCCATGTCCCCCCGCGTCCCCCCATCTTCCCCTAACTTCTCCCACCTTCCCTTGTTGCCCCCCATCTCTCCCCATCTGTACCTCAATCTCCCCCCATCTCTCCTCAGTCTCCCCTCCCCCCTCGCACTACCCCCGTTTTTTCCCCTAATCCCCCCGTCTTTTCTGGTCTCTTGCATTTTCCTCCCATTCCCCCCATCTCCTCTATCTCCCCTCCCACTCTCCCTCATTTATCCCTCCATCTCCCGCATCTCCTCCCACCTCCCCCCAACTTCTTCCGCCTTCCCTCATCTCTCCCCATCTCTACTCATATCTCCCTTAGCCTCCCTCCATCTCCCTCCCCGCGCCTCCCCCTACCTCTGCCCACCTCCCCCCACCTTTCCCCTCATCTCCGCCCATCTTACCCACGCCCAAATCGCCGCCGTCCCCCCTGAACCAGGACTTGCACCGCACGTTCCCCAAGCACCCGCGCATGGACACACCAGAGAGCCTCGCGGCTCTCAGGCGCGTGCTCGTGGCCTACTCCTTCCGGGACTCGCACGTGGGGTACTGTCAGGTGAGAGAGGGAGAATGAGTGCAAGCAATCACATGGGGTACTGCCAAGCCAATTGCGACTTTTGATTTGAGGCGCCTCAAGAGTCTGGCGGCTCTCAGGCGTGTGCTCGTGGCCTACTACTCCTTTCGGGACTCCCACGTGGGTTACTGCCAGCGGTGAGAGAGGGAGAATGAGTGCAGTGAACGGCCATCTCTCACGTGGGCCCGTGGGGTATGGCCAGATGAGAGATTCTGAGTGTGCAATCAATGGCCGTTTCCGCTCCTCCTCTCTTCTGTGTATCGAAATGCTCCACCTCAACCCCTTCCCATCCCACTTCCCGTCCTCCTCCACGGCCGCCAGGGCATGATGAGCTACGCGGCGGCGTATCTGCTGCTGGTGATACGTCTCTCCTTCCCTCTTCTCTCCTTCCATCTTCCTGCTGATTCCCACGCCCTACTTCCCATGCACCACCTCCCTCCTCCTTCCCCCCCCCCCCCTCCGCCCCCCAAACGTGCCCTCCTCTTCCTACCCGCCAGAGCATGAACTAAGTGGCAGCTTACTTACCTGCTGCTGAAGATGCGGCTTCTCCCCTCTCCTCTCTCATTCCCACGCCCCTCGCCCCACACCCCTCCCCAATAGCTCTTCCCACACCTTCCCTTCCCTAACGGCAGGGCATGAAGTTCATGACCACGTACCGCTGCTGGTGATGCGCAGTGATGCTGCAGGGTGTTTTTGAGAATTCTCAAAAACACCCAGCAGGCCATGAAGTTCATGACCACATACCGCTGCTGGTGATGCGCAGTGAGCAGGACGCCTTCTGAATTCTGGCGACCCCTTTGCACCTCTTGCCCTGCCCTTTCCCTCACCTCCCACCCCCCTCTCCCCCCCCCTCTTGAAAGCCCTCCCCTACACCCGTCCCCTGCACCCCTCCCGCCCCTCCCCTCCGTCCCCCCATCGCCCTATGTCCCGCCAGGGCATGAACTACGTGGCGGCGTGCCTGCTGCTGGTGACGCACTCCTCCCCTTCCATCCCCACGCCCCCTGCCTCCCTCCCCCACTTCTCCCACCCACTCGCCCTCTTCCCCTCTCCCCCTACCCACCAGGGCATGAACTATGTCGCAGCGTACCTGCTGCTGGTGATGCGCAGCGAGGAGGACGCGTTCTGGATGCTGGCGACGCTGGTGGAGAACGTGCTGTACGACGACTGCTTCGCCGAGGACCTCTTTGGCGTGCACGTCGAGCAGCGCGTGCTCAAGGACCTGCTCAAGAAGAAACAGCCCAAGTGAGCACGGAAGGGGGAAAGGGGAGGGTGGGGGGAAGCGTGAGGGGGAGGGGTGAGCGGGGAAGTGGGGATTCTGACCCGTGTGTTATTTAAGGCTCTTTGGCGTGGGAGGGGAGAGCGGGGAAGTGGGGATTCTGACCCGTGTGTTATTTAAGGCTCTTTGGCGTGGGAGGGGAGAGCGGGGAAGTGGGGATTCTGACCCGTGTTTTTTTTAGGCTCTTTGGCGTGCACGTGGAGCAGCGCGTGCTCAAGAACCTTCTCAAGAAGAGGCAGCCCAAGTGAGCAGTGGGAAAAGAAAGAGGGGACGGGGGGAGTGGGCCCTTTGGTGCTCGTCAGAAGCCTCTTTGGCGTGCACGTGGAGCAGCGCGTGCTCAAGGACCTGCTCAATCAGAAACAGCTCAAGTGAGCGAGACAGGGGGGATGGGGAGGGGGCACATGGAGAGGATTAGAAGGGAGGAGAGATGATTATGTGTGAGGAGCGTGAGATGGCAGGAGGTAGGGAGTTAGGAAGAGAGGGGAAGGAGGTGAGTTAGGGAGGTTCGTAAGAACGTGGGGCGGCTGGGGAACAAGGGAGGAAGGGGATGGAGGGGAGAGGAATAACAAGGTAAACGCTGTTCACATACCCACTTTCTGTTGTGCTCTCTACTTACCACGTCCACGTATCCCTACATTCCAGTCACCCCAAGGTCTGAGATTCGTTTCTTTTGTCGATTCATAGTTTTGCCTCCCTCTCCTTGCGTCATGTCATGCGAAGCACACTCGTCTCTCTGTCATCACTCCATCTTATCTGACCCCCATCCACCCACCCATCCCCTCCTTCCCTGTCCCCTTTTCCGTCTTCTCCTTTCCCCCCTTCCCCACCTCCCCCCTCTCTCCCCCTCCTCCTCTCCTCTCATTTACCAGGCTAGCTAGCCACTTAAACAAGGTGGGTTTTGAGCTCTCCCTCGTCACCACTGAGTGGTTCTTGAAACAGCAAAAAATTCCCCGTCCACGGTCCACCCACTCATCCACCCCCCCTTCCCCTCCTCTCCCCCACCCCCCCCTCTCCTCGACCAGGCTAGCTAGCCACTTGGACAAGGTGGGCTTTGAGCTCTCACTCGTCACCACCGAGTGGTTCCTCTGTGTCTTCGCCAAGACCTTCCCCTCTGAGGTGCGTGGGTGTGCAGTGCAAGCACCTTTCTCTTCTGCCAACACTCGGCTTCGCTCTCACCTCCTTACCTGGGCTTGTGAAACCCCAACCTCTCAGTCTCTCTCTCCCTCCCGCGTCACCACCGAGTGGTTCCTCTGTGTCTTCGCCAAGACCTTCCCCTCTGAGGTGCATCGCTCAATCTCTTGCCCTCTCTAATCTCATGTCCCCACCCCGCTTTTCTTCCGAGCTTTCGCGCCTGAATCAGGCTTCTGGGGCGTCTCAAAAGCCTTATCTGCTGCTCTCATGTTTTCCGCCCCCTTGTCCGAGCTTTCGCGTAAGAATCAGGTCCAAATCTCCTCTATTTCCTCTCACAACGGGACGCACACACGTCCGTGCATGTTTGTCTGGGTGTGCGTGTCAGTGTGTGTTGTCGTGTGCATGAGTGTATGGTTGTGTGTGTATTTATGTGTCTGTGTGTATGTTCTGTGAGCATGCGTTTTACATGTGTGCGTCTGTGCGGGTGTTGGTGTGTGCATGTGTGTGTATGTGCGCATGTGCGGGTGGGTGTCTGTGTGTCTGTGTATGTATGTATGTATATACATGTATGTATGTATGTATGTATGTATGTATGTATGTATGTATGTATGTATGTATGTATGTATGTATGTATGTATGTATGTATGTATGTATGTATGTATGTATGTATGTATGTATGTATGTATGTATGTATGTATGTATGTATGTATGTATGTATGTATGTATGTATGTATGTATGTATGTATGTATGTATGTATGTATCCCCACCTGCATGCATTACATACACCTGCATGCATCACATCACACGTGCCCTGTGCGTGCAACAGACCACGCTGCGGGTGTGGGATGTGCTTTTCAACGAGGGAGCCAAAGTGCTCTTCAGAGTCGCCCTTGCACTATTCAAGGTAACCTGCTCCCTCAACAAACCTGCTTCCGCCCTGGTAATCTAATCGCCCTGGTAATCTGCAGGCCATCTTCTCTCCCTTCCACGTGCCACTCTATCCTATCCTCCTCCCCCACGTCATGTACCGTTCCGCCTTTCGTTTTCCTCCCTCCCGTGCCGGACCGCCAACCAACCCCACACTGCTTTCCTGGTACCCTTCATCAGAATTGCAACAATGAGCTCATGTGTAGTGAGGCAATTTTTTAGGCGCCTCAGAAATCGCCTCACTACATGCTGTTTGCAAGAATGAGCTTTTGATTTTGTTTAATGCACCTTGGTACACACTCCCCCGATTTACCTCCTTCCTTTCCCCTCCCGCCAACTCTCCACTCCCCCCCCTGCAACTTTTCCTCCTTCAGAACTTGTGCGAATGCAGCCATCCCTTATGCGCACTACACCAGCTCTCTCTCCCACTCTCTTTCACCCCACGCTTGGTGTCAGATAAACGAGGCAGAGCTCATGACAGCACAGCACAGCACCTGGGCAGCGGCACTTGTGACGCCTCTAAAGTAAAGCTTCAAAACGTTTCCTTGTGCTCGTTCCACCCGCTCTTTCCCTCTCTTCTCTCTCTCCCCCTGCACCCCCGTGTCAGATAAACGAGGCAGAGCTCATGACAGCACAGCACCTGGGCGACGTGGTGGAAATACTCAATCGGTCCAGCAGCAGGCACTTTGACCCCGACATTCTCCTGCAGGTGCGTCCTTATCCTCATGCACCTCCCTCTCATCTCCTCTCCTGTGAATGTTGTGTCAAGGTGACTTTTGAGTCGCCGTAAAAGTCATCGCATGGTGGAAATTCTCAATCGATCCAGCAGCAGGCACTCTGACCTAGACATTCTCCTGCTGCAGGTGTGTCTGCTCTGCGGGCGCCCCTCCCTCTCATCTCCTGCGAGTGTCGTGTTGTATCATCTTACCTCGTAATGTCTAGTCTGCGTGTTCGTCTTCCTCTTACTCACCCTGCCATGTCATTGCATGTCATCTCATCTCATCTCGTCTCATCCCATCTCATTCCAGCTCACCACACCTCACCTCACCACACCTCACCTCACCACACCTCACCTCACCTCACCTCATCTCGTCACGTCTCCTGCCAGCGATGCACTCCATGAAAGGCCACTATATGGGTTGCAGGCTGTTCCTGCCAACCACAGGGCTGTCTTTTTCTGAGGAGCCTCAAAAACTATAAGACAAATTCCTAAGCGCCTCAGAAAGCTTCCAAGGCCCTTGAAAAATGAAGTTGCGAGCTGTCTCTCTGTCAAGTCAGTGACAGCTTGACACAGTTGCCCAAACGCAAGCCATCCCCCGTCCCTCCCGTCCCTCTCGTCCACCATGTCCATGCCCACCATTTTCAAGCACCTCAAGCGACAGAAACGTTTTGAGACGTCTAAAAAACCCCATGTGATAAGAAAGTGTTTTGAGACATCTCAAAACATCCCGTCCACCATGTCCATGCCCACCGCCATGCTCAAGCAGCTCATGCGACATAAACACATACGTGTATTATTTCTACCTTCCTCGACTCTCATTATGCCCCTCTACTACCTCTCTCCTCCCTCCTCTCCTCTACCGGCTGGGAGAATCCCGTGCATGCCATGCCCACCATTCTCAAGCAGCACAATGGGCAGAGCTTTTAACCCCCCCTTTTACTGCCTCTCCTCCTCCCTCTCTGCCCCTCCACCAGGTGGCGTTTGACCGGGTGGGAACCATGCCCATGGCCACCATTCTGAAGCAGAGACATCAATGCAAACCTCCCTCCCCTTCGCTTTCTCCGTCACTGTTCCCTCCCTTCCCCTTCCCCTCCCTTCCTCCTCTCCTCCACCAGGTGGCGTTTGACCGGCTGGGAACCATGTCCATGGCCACCTTCTCAAGCAATGCAAGTGGCAGAGCTTTTAACCACCCTTTTACTGCCTCACCTCTCTCCCTCTGCCTCTCCAGCAGGTGGCGTTTGACCGGCTGGGAACCATGTCCTTGGCCACCATTCTCAAGCAGCACAATGGGCAGTGTTATTAACCCCCCATTTTACTGCCTCACCTCTCTCTCTCTGCCCCTCCACCAGGTGGCGTTTGACCGGCTGGGGACTATGTCCATGGCCACCATTCTGAAGCAGCGCAAGCGTCAGAAGAACGCTGTGGTGGCGGCACTAGAGGCCCGGCAGCAGCAGCTCAGCGCGTACAAACAGGGCAGCAGCAGCAGCAGCAGGAGCCAGGAGAGCAGAGAGAGCAGGGAGAGCAGGGACGAAAGGGAGAGCAGGGAGAGCAGAGAAGGAGGAGGAGGGGGCAGGGAGAGCAGAGAACGCGACAGCACTAGCAGGGGTGTTAGCATCAGCAGCAGCAGTAGCTGCAGTGGAAGTGTGAGCGGCAATACAGAAATTGAATCTGCGAATGGCAGTAGGGACGGTGGCAGTAGGTTGAAAGGGAGCAGCAGTGTGAGTGGCGTGAGTACAGTCTCTGTTAGTGAGAGGAGGGAGGGAAGCAGTGCAAAGGCACAGATGCTTGATTTGGGGGAAGATGGCCGCAGTCTTAGCTTTCCAGCTGCCATTGCTGAGGGGAAGACCGGGGAAGAAGATGAGGGAGGCAGGGGGAAACGGTGTGGAGGAGGAGAGGCTGTCCATTTATCTGCATCCAACGGTAACGCCACTGATGCTTCGCGTGCTGCTGCAAGAACCGTTGATTCGATCAAAGTCCCGGACCGCACCCGTCCCAGAGGCTTCCGAAGTGCCTCCATCTCTGTTTGTTCATTTGCTAGGTATGAAGAAGAACCTGCCGCTGCTGAGGTCAACCATAGGACCGTTCTCCCTCCAGGTGCTTTGTTCCGTGACGCCAGTGCTGCCTGCGGCAGCAGGAACAGCCGCAGCAGAGGGGCGTTAGGGGGAGCTTTGAAGGGGGGCGTAGGGGTTGGAAGAGGTTGGGGAGGATTTGATGAGATGGAGAAGATTCGGGAGGAGGAGAGAGCGGAATGGGCGCGGGAAGGATTCACCCCTCCGCAAGGCCTACCACCTCGTGTGGCGTCTCACCTTAATTTAAACTTGAACTCGGTGTCAGTTTCTCGCATGCATGCTGCGGCAGAAGCTGCATTGTCTGTGTTCTCAGCTGCTTCAGAAGTGTCTTCTGTGGCAGCAGCGTCAGTGTCGCTGGCCATGGGATCTCGCGAGGCTGAGAGTGGACTCATTCGCACCAACTCCATTTGATTTTATTTGTCTGGCTGACGCCAAAAAGCCCGCAAGAGAGGCTGAGGGTGCACTCATTTGCACTAAATCCATTTGATTTGCCTGGTGCTGGAAAATATTTCGCGAGAGGCTGGGAATGTGCTTGCACGCACCACCTTGTATGATACCATACTTCGCACCTTCTTTAATGTGGGTAGGAAGGGGTAGGGGGTGAAAGTGAAAGGGGGAGGGGGAGGGGAGGGGCTGGGGGTTGTGCAGTGTCAGCAACCAGCCTCGATGTGCCAATGTCGCCGTGTAGTTTTCAACAGGCGCAGTTGCTTTGATTCTCCACGTACTTCCTATGTATCCCTCTCTCAGCCCCCTCTTCCCCCCAACTTCCCCCTTCGCCCTCCCTTCCCCAACTTGTCTCTCTCTCTCACTCCCCCCCTATTCTCTCTACCTTGTTTCTTATCTCAAGCACACCTCCCTCGACCACCCACCCTTCCATGCCGACGCTGCCCCACTCTTTTTCTGTTAGCTCGGCCATTATTGTTTGGTCCAGGTGTGTCCAGAATCCACTTGGTTGAATACATGTATTGATTGTGGTGTTCTACTACGAATTTCATGCTGGGTTTACGGAGTTATGGTACTAGGCGGTATGACACCTGCGAGATTGTACATTACTTTCAGTGATTCTCGGTATGGGACTCTAGCGTCCAATACGTGGTTGGCTTGCGAAGCGCGTTTTTCTGACGTGTCGCGCTGCAGTTCATTGGTCAGATTCAATCGATACCAATCCCCGTAATCTCCGACCTCACTGTCAGCACCACCACTCTTCCTTTCAGCGTGTGAAATTCCGCAATGATCTTTCAAAATGTCGTGGAAGGAGTGCAGGAGTCAGGGACTTCCGAGGGCCTAAGGGCGCATTCCCGGCCTCGGGTCTTCCGGGCGTTTGGGTCTTCCTAAATTGTGGGATCCAATCTTAAAATTCAAAGCTCGAAACACGGACTTTCCGATTGGATCCCACAATTTCGGAAGACCCGAACACCGGAATTCCCGAGGCCGGGAATGCGCCCTAAGAATTTGGTTCGGACTTCCAAGCAATTTCAGACCGTGTCGTCATGAGTTCTTGAGAGAACTCAAAACAAGTTTTACACCTGTTCTCCGATATCTTCACTACCCTTAATTTCACACCGCGGCTCGGTGTCACTTCGGGGTCCTCAGCCCAACTTTCTTGGAAGCCGAGCTGCCAAAGTGTGGTTGAACATCTAGACCCCCCCCCCACAGAAATGACGCAATTTATACTCGTGAGGCTGAGATGGAAGCCACAACTTCTGAAATATTCGGGGCTTATTCTTGGTGAGGTTCGGACTAGGAAATTTGACTTCGTATCGTGTGAGCTTGCTGTAAATTTTGAACTTCGTATTCCTCCAAAACAGTGTCAACGTTTCATAGGCCGACATGAACTTCTTCGAAACAAAACTGAGCAACGCCCTGATTCTGTTTTGGGTGTGAACCCAGCCCCACGCAATCCTGACGTGGTGATGTGGCACTGGCTGGATAAATTTCCCTGAGATCGTGCGATGTACTTTATCCATGTCAGCTGCATGCTTTGCGACTCGTGTGTGAAATTAACCAGAACTTTTTTGCTCTACACCTGGGCTCCGATAATTTCATTCCCTAAAATTGCAAGGCCCCTGTCGTCACATGGGGTCAGGAGCTCGAGCGCTTCGGAGGCTGTCAACAGTGAAGTCGAAAGCTTTACAGCCTGTGACCTGATGCGTCTGCACATTTCCACGCTGGAATGAGCTGGTGAAAGAGATTCGAGAAGGCTCCCAGGCAGGTTTTTCGTGGCCCACAAAGCAAACCAGCCGCACTAGATTCCTACGTGGCATAGAATGGACGGCCCAAGTGAAGGAGATGAATATGGGTAGAAACAAGCGTAACCGACACAAAAACGATAACAACCACTGAGGTACAACACACACAACACCAGAGGAGAGCACGGCAGGCAGAGAGCAAATTCGACTTCTGTTACGAGTGCATTTGAGTGAACGAACGAGAATTGCACTATCGAAGCAAGAGTACAATGAGCGAAGGCATGAGCGAAGAATATATAGCGAAACTACAGTGGTAACGGTAATGGACTGTGGTTGTCGCGCGACGGGCCTGGGACTGAGGTTGGGAAAAAGTGTCGAAGCGGAGGCCCGGAGCGCGGGTTACCCGCCGAGCCGTGAGGTCGGGGTGCGATGTGCGAAGGTGGCGGGCAGATTGTCGATGCGAGGGTTGCGAGTGGTAACGGTGCTGACTGTGGTGCTACAGTGATGTACGCGTTGAGCAGGGATGCGAAGTAAGGAAAAGGAATTTTCCTTACACTACCCCCCCCCTTAAGGAGGTCCTCCCTACGAAAGTGCGTGTACATCCCTGAAATTCCGGCTGCGCAGATACTCGGTGAGGACGGGGTGGTTTTCGATTCTGTCCAGGGGAACCCAATTGTCTTCGGTGGGTGTACGGTCCTTCCAGCGGAGTAAGAACTCGATCCTTCGGGCTCCTCGAGGGTCGCGAACTCTGTGACTCAGGATTTTCTCGGGGGTGATGATTGGTTCAGTCGGTGGTCTTGTCATGCTGGCTGGGCGATTGCGTGGCAGTTGGCTCGTGGACGGGACGTAAGGGCGAAGTAGGCTGACGTGGAATGAGGGGCTGACGTACCAGTCAGCAGGGAGGAGGAGGTGGGCGGTGACGGGTGTAAGCATGTGGCTTATGCGAAATGGCCCGCAGTATCGGGGGCGGAGTTTCGGAGTGATGGGCAGTCGGAGGTTCTGAGTGTCGAGTAAAACTAAGTCGTCGGGCTGGTAAGTGACGGGTCTGCGGTGGCGGTCGGCGTTGCGTTTAGCGATGATGTTCGATTTTTTTATTGCGTCTACTGCCCGGGTCCGTGCTGCTTGTAATATTTCGGCGAACTGTTGCGCGCGTGGAACCGGGTTGTCGGGATTCGGGGTCATGGGTACTGTTGGGTTTTGTCCGTAATTCAGGTAAAACGGTGACTGTTGGGTCGTGGCGGATGGGGCGTTGTTGTATGCGAATTCGATGAGTGGCAGTTGCTGTTCCCACGTGCTTGGGTCGTCGCACGTGGCCCAGATGAGCTGTTCCATGGTCTGATTTGTCCGTTCTGTCTATCCGTCTGTTTCGGGGTGGTACGATGAACTAAACTGTAGTCGCGTGCCGAACTGCTGCCACAGGTTCCGCCAGAAGTTGCTGGTGAATTTCGTGTCTCTGTCGCTGATGATCGATGCTGGTATCCCGTGCAGTCGAACGACGGTAGAGATGAAGAGGCGGGCTGTTTCTTCGGCTGTGATTGATTTTTTGCAGGCTGCGAAGTGTGCCATTTTCGTCAGTCGATCGACGACGACCAGGATCGCGTCATTTCCACTCGCCCCGGCCGGTAACCCCGTGACGAAGTCCATCGTCACCTGCTGCCAAGCAGGCTCTGGAGGGGGGATTGGCTGCAACTGTCCCGCCGGCCGCTTCCGTGTTGACTTCATGGTCTGGCAAGTGGGACACGATGCCACGTGTCGCTGCACGTCGGTCAACATTTCGGGCCAGTAATAATACCGCTGCAGCTGCTGCCGTGTTTTCTCTACCCCGAAATGTCCCGAGGTAACCCCGTCGTGTGCCTCTTGTAATAGTAATTCCCGTAGCAGTGTGTACCCTGGTACCCAGATGCGGTCGGTCCCGGCTTTTACGTAATAGACTCCCTTGGCTGCTGCGAACTGCTGCAAATTTCCTCCTGTGAAGAATGGGTCCGTTTGATATCCGTGGGTAAATAGTCCTGTCAGTAGCGGGCTGGTCTGGGCGAGTAGTATCGCGTGGATCTGGGCAGTGGGGCGGGTCAGTGCGTCGGCGATGTTCGAGGCTCCTTTTTTATAGGTGACTGTGTAGTGGAAGTTGGACTCGAGGAAATCGAGCCAGCGGATCTGTCGTGGGTTAAGGTGTGGTTGTGCGCGAAGGTACTGTAGTGATTTATGGTCTGTCCGTACTGTCACGTCTGCGCCAGTCAAGTAACAGCGCCATACTTTGAACGCGTGCACGATCGCAAGCATTTCGCGGTCGTGTATTGGGTAATTTTTCTCGGGCGGATGCAGTTTTCGTGACTCGTATGCGATAGGCTGTAGGCCATTGCCGAAATCCTGTAGCAGTACGGCTCCGATGGCGATATCGCTTGCGTCGGTAACTACTTCGAATGGGCGGTGTGGGTCGGCGATGCGCAGGACGGGCGGTGAACAGAGAACATTTTTCAGGGCAGAGAAGGCAGCATGCTCTTTCTCCCCCCACGTAAAAGCGACCCCCTTCCGCAGTAAATCCGTCAGTGGGGCAGTTAACCGTGCCATATCGGGGACGAACCGACGTACATAATTAACGAACCCTAAAAAGCTCTGCAGCTCCGTGATGTTCGTCGGGGGATGCCACGCTTTGACCGTATCCAGCTTCTTTGGGTCGATTTCAACTCCAGCCTCCGAAATAACGTGCCCCAAAAATTCTAACCTATTCTGGAAGAACTCGCACTTGGAACCCTTGGTCAGTAATCTGTGCTCGTCTAAAACCTTAAACACTTCTTCCAGATCTGCTAAGTGCTGCTGCTTATCCCGACTGTACACTAGGATGTCGTCGAGGTAAACGATCACACATTTATCTAAGAGCGGCCTAAATGCCTCGTTCATGGTCATCTGAAAAGTCGCCGGTGCGTTGGTCAGCCCGAATGGCATCACAGTGTACTCGAACGACCCGTACCTAGTCCTGAAAGCTGTTTTGGCGCAGTCCGATGGTTCGACCCTAATCTGATGGTAACCTCCCTGTAAATATATTTTCGAAAAAACCCGTGCTGTTCGCAGTTGGTCGATCAGTTCGTCGGCGCGGGGAATTGGGTACCGCGACTTGACTGTTACCCTGTTCAGTGCTCTATAGTCGATACACATGCGAAAACCCCCGTCTTTTTTCGGCGTGAATAGTATCGGTGCGGCGAACGGTGACGAGCTCGGTCTGAT